AAATCGGCAGAGATTTAAGATGAGAGAATATCTCACATATTATAAAATGAATTAATCCTGCTTCTCCTGGAAGAAAAATATGTTTTAGTAATTTACTTTTATGTAGGTGAACTTTAAGAAATGATTTATGGGAGGGGGCAGCAGGTGGTGTGCTGGACTCCCAACATGGCTGATCATGGTTTGCACCCGGAACCTGGTGGCTTGCTTTCTCACTTTTCCTCTTTCTCTCTCTCCTCTGTCTGGTAAGTGCATGTGCCATATCACAAATTAAATAATAATAATAAGTAAAATTAAATAAATAATTCAATAAAAAAGTTGTGATTCATGAACCTAGTAAAATCCTTATTACCTTAGCTCTGGCAGGTGGCATGGTGGTTAAGAAACTAGGTTCCCACATGGCCAACTGCAGTTCAAGGCCCAGACCAGGCAGCTTGCTTTCTCACTTTCTCTCTCTCTCTTTCTCTCTGGTAAGTATGTGTGCCCTATAGCCAATTAAAGAATAGTAAAATTAAATTAAACAATTTTGTATCTTATAAATTGATTTGAAATAACAAAGAGAATCTTTCCTCTGAAATTGAAGTTCAGGCCAACTATGCTATAAATGTATTTTAAAAGAAACCAGATCTTATCTATCCAGAAAGAGCCCTTAATAAACAAATGGCGACAGGAAGAGAGATGGGGTGTGCTACTATTTTAAAATGTTTTACTTGCTAATGAAGAACAAGACACATGTAATTTGAATTTTAGTCATAAAGATGTCATAGATGTATGTTAAGTACCATGGAAACCTTACTTTACTTTTAAAAACTAAACACATTTGGTAAGCCCTACAGAGGTGACATAAGACTCATGCCAATTTAGATAGAGCCTATCAATGTGCATTTTAATTAATTAATTAAAATAGCTACAGGGTATGTGCACTCACCAGAGGGGGTATGGGAGAGTTATCGCCTCCCAGGGAGGGGGATGACCACCACACCTCAATCCCTTCTCTCCCATTCTCCTCTCTGGATTTTGGGCATGCCCACACACATGCAGGCACATACATCCAGTCCGTGTTTTCCAAGCCACCAGGCCCAAGACTCAAACCATACAGTCAGCCATGGAATCCAGCTGCCTTAAATGCCACACCACCTGGCTGGTCCTCAATGTGCATTTTATACAGAGAAGAATAATACCGTTGACAAGCCTCATCCACAATCCACAGCAGAGAACCAGAGCCTTGGTGACAAGGAAGACATTCTAGAATCAAGATCTGTGCTGTGTGGGCTGACATAACCCAGGCTGGGATGTGGAAGTGGGCCCCGACCGAGGGAAGAGGTTCAACTGCATGGTCAAAAGGCACTATTCATCTTTCAACTGCAACACTTTAGGAAAATAAATTATACCACTTCAATATGGTTATCGTTGTTGGTATGTGCCAACCGGATCTTTTTCCATGTAATATCGACTACAATGATAATAGCTGCCATTTATCAGATGACTTCTTTTTTTTTTTTTTTTTTTGAGAGGTTTTTCACTACAGGGTGCTTGCGCTTGCCAGAGACAGAGAGACAGAGAGCGAGAAATCACCCCCCAGGGGGGATGGCCACACCACAACCCCTTCTCCTCCATTCTCCTCTTAGGATCTTGGGCATGCACGCACAAGCACCTGGCGTGAGTTTAAGCCACCGGGTCTGAGACTCGAACTGCGGTTGACTACGTGAGAGTTCAGCGACATAGCCATTACGCTAACTGCTGGTCCTTCAGATGACTTCTTTGTGCCGGGCACCTTGATGAGTCCTTTACAGGTGTATGCTCACATCACTTTCCCATGTCTCTGAGACAGGTATTGTCTGCATAATGTGCTGAAGAAACTAGGCTTAGAGAGGCGAAGTTAGTTGCTTAAGTTCACACAACTGACACCTTTATCAGCTCCTGTGTCCGCTGCAAGGTTTCTAACTCAGAGGCTCTGCCCTTCCACTATGCTTTGAGGAACCCTAAGTGTATTTCAGGTGCAGCAAATATTCTACATCTTGAATTTACTGTTTACTTACTGATATACTCAACCTATTAATACTTATTAATAACTCCCAGTACTGCCCATATGATTATATAAACTTCACAACTGCCATTTTAATTTCCTGCCCCTACCATGGCTAATTTACTTCATTATCAATGTTTTTCACCATTATAAATAATGCCATAATAAACACTTCCTCTTTTTAAATCATTATTTTAATTTATTTGTTATTATTATTTTTTAAGATTTGACCAGGGAAAAAGAGAGAGAGGGAAAGTGAGAAAGTGAGCTGTCAAGTCTGGACCTTGAACGCTGGTCTACCATGTGGGAGTCCAACGCCTTAACCACCACAATACCTGCTGGGCCCTCTTTTTGTTGTTGTTTTTGTGCCATAGGGTACATGCACTTGCTGGGCTGAGAAAATAAGAAATTGCACCCTCCTCAGGGGGGTTCTCTTTATATACGAAACAACAAAACACTGCAGCTGTATATTATGAATATGGAACTTAGGTATGACACCTGAAGAGCGAGCACGGACTGTTGTTTGGAACACCAAAGAGAGAAGATAAATATATGAGAAAGTAAGGACCTTGGAGGAAGAGATTGGTCAAGTGATTGTGGCAGGCTTAGCTTTGAACAGGAAGGTCAACTTTTGCTCTTGGAGATGGGGAAAGGCTGGTGGAGGGATGGAGGGGTAGTTCTGCAAAGGTGGGAGGGGCAGAATTCTGAGAATAGATTTGTTTTTTCCGCATAGGGAAGGTGCCAGCTTCCTAAACCTTTCAGAGGTACTGGGTTTCAGGCTGGGCATCCAGCACAACGCTAAGGTTCTGGCCCTTGAGCCTTGGAGGGTATACTCTCAGCTCCTCCAGGATCCTAACAGCTCTGGCTCCCACCTCTCCATTCCCTCCTGCGGCTCTTCGCTTTCATCATGAAGACAGATTGCAGGAACCAGCACCCCCACTCATTCCTGCATTCCCCCCACCTTCCCTGTTTCCATCTGGTCAGCCCCAACCTTCCCGGTGCTGCTGGAGAAAGCACAGGAAGGCTTCCTAACTCTGCTGCACTACCCACATGCTGTGTGACTCCGGGCAAGCTGCTCTCTGGCCAGCCTCTGCCTCCCCTGGCGATTATAAGAGAACTACATCTTTGGGCTGTTGTGAGAAAGAGGTGCTGTGTGTGAAGAGCACAGGACAGCGGCCAATACCAAACACAATAAATGACGGCAACACACCGGGCAGTGCTCTGCTATCAAAGTGGGCCATCCCATCCCACCTGGCCCCTGCCATTTCTTCACAATCGTTTATTCACTTCAGATGGACTCAGTTACAACTCCTCTCCAAAAGCTCTTCTAAACCGTTTGCATGCCTCTGCCCTCTGACTCCCCTTGCTCACAAGATTCAAGGAAAAAAAGAAAGAAACAATTCAAGAAGGAAAAACTGGGCAGTCTCAGAAGCATTTGGGCAGGGGAATCGCAGGACAAGGAGGACAACGCTTCCTCTCTATGCTGAGCAGAACGAGGGAGCCCCTGAGCCTGTGCTTCTGGGACTGATGAAGCTCTCTGAGTCGCCTATTTTCACCCCTGAACATCTGCAAAAAGGGACTCCTAAGAAAGGGAAGGGCAAAGTAGAAGGAAAGCAATTGAGGAACTTCTACCAGTAAACTAAACGCTGTTTTTTAAAACTATTCCCTCATGCGACAGCAGATGACATAGTGGCCAGGTCGCTGGACTCCCACATAGTGGACCACAGTTGGAGTCCTAGACCCTGTGACTTGAAACTCACTCCAGAACGTGTGCATGCATGCCCACGATCCCGGGAGGAGAATGGCTGACAGATTTGGGTCCCTGTTCAGGCAGAGAGAGAGCCGTGTGTGTGACAGACACGGGGCAGGACTGGGCAGGGCAGGGCTCAGGGTGCAGATGGGGTCCTGTGAAACTGCTTCTCTCCATTACGTCAGAGAGGAAACTAAGGGGCCCTTCCCAGCCTGTATCTCAAGGAGAGAGTGAGGACCTTTTGAGGTCTGCTCCTCTGACCAGGGTACTGAGCCTCAGCTCAGGTGGAGGTGGGGAGGAAAGCAGGGAGGGATCCAGATTTCCAGACCCTTCTCAGTGGAGTCACAGGTTATTAACAATCCGGATTTCTAAAGTGGCAACGCAACCCCTCCCCATCTCGCTAGTGACAGATAATCCCTGCTATAAACCAAACAGCCACGGGGCCTGCTATAAACCAAACAGCCACGGAGTGTGATGAAACACACTGAGTCTGACTACCAACGGTGACCAGGGTTTCAGGCCCTCGGTGACGTTAATCCCCATCTGCTACAATTTTTGTGTGTCCTGAATATGCCTCAATTCTCATTCCAAGCATCTGCAGAAAGTAAAAATCATACAATTAGCATTATTTTAACTCCTCTTAAAAGAGACATGCCTTAAAAACTCTTATTTTCAACTAAAATCAAGCCTCTTCTTTTCGGCCTTTATAACAAGGCACAGTAGTTTTCCTTCCCGTTTTTTAGCTGCCGAAGAAAGACAAAATTAAAAGAGCCACGAGAGTCACGCTAAGAAACCGGTGGGCGACGGGAGCAATTTGGCATCTAATTATATGTTCTTGCAATTACTTGACACAAACCATGCCTTTTTAAACCCATGAGACTAAAATACACTTAAACAACAACAGCAACAAAAACGCTGAGCTTCTCTCTCTTCCTTTAAATCGAGTTTCCGTGACTCCTTAGCTCCGTCTGCCTTTCCAAGCCTAGGAGAATCCCAGGAGCAGTTCCCCGTGCCTGCGTCTGCCAATCTACTCTAAAACGGAGAAATCAAAGCCGCTCCTCTGGGTGTCGGGGGCTAAATATCGCCTGGAACACTGTGTTTTGTTTCTAACTTAGAGAAGGGCGGGGAGGGGACAGCGGTCCTGCCCAGGCAAGGCTCCCAGAGGTTTGGAAAATAACAGGCGCTCGGCAGGCGCACGGACAGCCGGACCTTCCGTGGCGCGCTTACCCAGGCGGGGCGAGGCCCGGGCGGTGTCCGCGGCGGCTGCGGCCTCGGGGCGG